TGTTGTTGTTAGTCTTTGCTACTCGGTACACTACTGTGGTCCTGCTTGAATTTTGTGCTCCTCGTGACATTTTATGGTGCTTGGTTGTTTTATATTATCTTGTGTTTGCATTCAGTGTTTTTGATGAGATACTACATCAAGGTCATTAGGCATTACCACAACATAAGTTATTGGTCGTGATCTGTGCTGTCTGTTCTCCAGCCTTGTCTTTAAGCACCTGATTTTCAGGTGGTCTTCTGGAAATGAATGGCTTTCATACTGCTCTCACCCCTAGCTGGTCAGCACAGAGTCTGCAAGTGTTCATACCAGGCTTTCCTGGTGTGTTGCCCTGAGTGGGGAGAAGAATTAGAGACTGCAGTGTTGCTCACATCTAAGGTACTGCAGACTCAGCTGTCAGGGACCTACTGCTCCTGCCTATGGATTTGCAGTGAGTGAATGTGAAAGTTGACTATTTGAAATGGAAAAGTAACTTGCTTCCCAAAAGTGTCCAAGGTTGTGTTTTTGGTTTGGTTTTCTTGCTTGTTTGGGAAAGCAGTTGAATTGATTAATAATTTTTTTTGAGACTGATAAACAGGAAAAATTGCATTTCAGAAGAAATGGTGGTGTGGGGTGTTTCTCTTTGGGATTTTGCAGTTCAAAGACTGACTTCTGAACTTGAAAATGTCATTAATCTTTATGATGCTGATCTAAAGCAATGAAAGATTGAAGAAGCTAAGATGAATATCCTGGTCTTCTGAATTATTTTGTTTTCTTTGGAGCTCTCTGAAGTTTGTAAATACGAAATAGGGAGGAAATACATGGGGCAGAATTACCATGTTTTCACTTCCCCCTGCCATCTAGATACCTGTTCTGATCAGAGCACATTTGCACAGCCATCCTGTGAACTCCTCAGATTTTACACTTGCTTTTCAGGGTAACTGTAATCTCACTGCAGATTACTACTTGTTAGGAACCACCACAAGGCTTCCCTCCAAATCTGTGGTAAATTGAGAGTGAAAAGGATAAATCAGCACTGTGACTCATTTTTCAACTGTTACATTTTGCACATTTATTAAAATTTTACTTTCCTAGAAATTAAATCTGTTCTTATCAGCATCAGACACCTCTAAAAGAGAAGACATACCTGTTTGAAACTTGTTCTGGTGTCCATGTTTTTTCTGTTTCCCCCTGCTCAATTAAAACATGATTTTTTGACACATGGTAGTCACTCAGTTGGTAGAAGTTACCAATTTAACTTGAAGGTAAACCAAAGGCAGATTAATGACACTCACTTAAGCAGCCTTTAATATTTTCCCTTCATAAATATAAGACCCTTTAATTAAAACCAAATTACTACTCTCCTACTGGATGCAGCAGAGTAATTACAATATACTTTAGTATGAGGTATTACACTTAGAGTGATGTCAGCTTGCAATCTTGAAATTCCTTTTAGAAGTTTAATACATTTTTCATTTTCTTAATTTCTCTTTACACTAACATGTACTTCTCTAATATCTTCCTGTTCTCATTTTGACTCTTCAGGCTGCTCTTGCCCCATTCCCTAAAATTATGTAACCATGTGCTGCCACACAATTATTTTAATGTATATTATTATCTTTTCTTTTTAAGGCCGTTCTTCCCTCTTCCCCATAGATGATGGTTTGCTGGATGATGGTCACAGTGATCAAGTTGGAGTCTTGAATTCACCTACCTGCTACTCAGCTCACCAGAATGGAGAACGAATTGAGCGTTTCTCTCGCAAAGTGTTTGTTGGAGGTCTTCCACCAGATATTGATGAAGGTGAGCTGCCTGGAAACTAAGCAGACTAAGTTTGGAGGGAGAAGACAAAGAGAGATTTGGAAAAATCTGAGTGAAGTACTAGAAATAATCCACTAAGTAAAATAATGATGTGGTGCAAAAGGCTACAACTGTATGTTCTTTGAGAGCTGATGGATGTGTTGAGCTTCATATCATCCCTTTTGGTTTTGAAATGGTTCAGTTGTCTCTGGTTCTGCACTTGCAGATGGTAGAGTTGCGTGTGATGCCTGGAATTTGTACTCCTACTTATCTTGCATATTCCTTTCAAATACATCTTAGCCATCCTATGTTTGTGCCTGCTTTATTTTGTATTCATAGAAAACTTCCATTCATAAACTAATTTCATATTCTATTTTGCTGTTACCTGAAGATCTCAGAGGTGGTATAGAAAGGTTAATATTATTCTCATTCAGAACTAGAGAAACTAAGGCAAGGTCAAGTGGCAGAGCAGTCTGTGATGCACTGTACATAGTGTACCACAGAAGCTCAGGTTGTTCTACGATGCAGCTGGACTTGCTTTGTACAATAGTGCTGATGTGAAGTGATTGTGCTGTTTAATATTAGGTTTCTCCTGTGCACATAAATGTAAATTACATCCTAGCTTTGTAATGTAAACAGAAGTCCCTTTACGAGGTTCATTGTAATCCTAGAGCAAAAACCTGTTAACCAAATAAGCTGACTGTTTAATTAACTTTCAGACATGGGAAGCCCAAATTTTGGTTCTGTCTTCATTGAGATGCTCTCCTGCAATGTGCTAAGGGATTTATCTGAATACACTTTAGGACAGTTGCCTTTAATACAAATGCTAAACAAAGACATGTGGAAATACACTTTCTTTCTTTCCTGCCTGTTTCTATGCTGATGGCAGGATATGACTGAAAGAAATGGAGCATATTTGTGGTGATGAGTTACTGCTTTTGTAGAGTTAAGGGTATTTTTTCCTCCAGGCTCTTCTAGTCAATGACAGGAAGGAGAGTCCAGGATAGAAAGACATTACAAAGTTGTGCAAGGGGCATAGTAAATCTTAACCATGAATAGTCCTGTTGCATATTAGAAGCATCTCAAAATAGACAATTACATTTTCTGTGCCAAATAGATGCATAGTATCTGCTGGAAACTGCTAGCATGTTAATTGTGGTTGTACTTGGTATATGAATATCTACCTACGAACCTCTCAACTGTACATCACTAAAACAGTAAATTGATTTGATTGCATTCAAACCAGATTCTGCACTTGGGGACAGTGCTCTCAGGCACATGGTGTGATTCTCAGGGATGTCCTGTGCAGGGCCAGGAGTTGGACTAGATGATCCTCAAGGGTCCTTTCCAACTCTGATTATTCTGTGAAATACCACACAAGTTTGCACCAGTGCCTTAAGTTGTCCATATGCTTCTGAAATGCTGCTGTGACTAAGTAATAGAAAACTTATTAAGCTAAAATCACCAGAAATACATTGTGCAAATATTAATGCTTTGGGAGATGTCTGGTTTTTGTTCATGAAAGTTGTAAATTTTGTTTCTTTTTTTTTTTTTCCATGAAATGTTAACCTAGACACTGTTTCTTTGCTAGAAACAAAGTGCTTTGTTTTGTGCTTTTGCAAACATCTGCATTGAGTTATGTCATTTATTTTAATTGCAACTTCTGTACTTGTTTTTAGATGAAATCACTGCTAGCTTCAGACGATTTGGGCCCTTGGTAGTAGACTGGCCTCACAAAGCTGAAAGCAAGTCCTATTTTCCACCAAAAGGTAAGAGTCCGAAGGTTCTGAGCTTTAACTTAGTGCAAATCTCACTCCTGGAAACTCTCGTTATTCTCCAAAGGGTATAATTTACAGTTCTGGTGAACAGTTAAATCTATAGTTTCAAAGCAGGTTCAGACATGGTTCCTTTACATACCAAGTCTAAAATCTGTTGGTTTGGAATTGTGTCTGATCAGGTCAGTGTTACGTAGTTGTATGTGTCATTAATCCTCAGTTCTGAATTTGCATGTCTCTCAAGTGTCCAAAACTGAAGTTTAGTCAAGTTTTGAATACTAAATCTTAGATTAAAATTTTCCTAGGAAGTTAAAGGCAGGATTCAGGATGCATTTGAGTGTCTGATCAAGATAATCAAATACTATGCCTCTTTCACTTTTAGAATATGAACTTCCTATTGAAACACTACCTTGGTTTTGATAAATGATGAAATATTGATATTTTTATGCTATTTCTAGTGTTGCTGTTAGACTAAATTTTTTAGTATTTTTTCAAAAGTGTTGGACAAACCATTCTGTAGGTTAAGTAAGTTAGTTGTGTAATTATCTTCTACACGTACACCGTGTACTGTTACATACAAAATAAGTGCAGAAGTCTGATCTAGATACAAAAGCAATGAAGAGATTATTGATTTTGTAGAGAATGCAGCAATTCATTCCCTCTGTGGAAGTGACAAAACTGGGTACATTGCCTTTGTAAACTGATTCTTCATTTATCTGAGCGTCTGTGCTGGGGGAGAGACAGTATTATTATCCCAGATGGATCCTCTAAAGAGTGGGAAATGGAATTGGAAGTATTTGAATAGCATTTGTGAATGCTACATGGAAATTCTAAGACAAACAAAGAGACTTTGGCTTTTTTGATTGTCAGCCTGACACACCAAGCTACTGTCAAGTTAAATTTGATTATCTTAAGGAGTGCATCTCTCTTCTTAAATTGCCAAGAGAAATTCCTGAGGAACTCTTTGAGGAAGATGAATCTCAGAGAGTCTGTGGTGAATATATAGGAGATGGAAGATGTAATATATTCTTACCTGAAAGGAATGGATCCTGACATTCTTTTCCAAGGGGATAGTCCTGTCTCAGGATCTGAACATCTTAAGGATGTATTTCCAGACTTCCTAATTTAATAAAGCTTTTTGATATAGTTGAGATATTTATAAATACCACAATGAGAAAAAAATACAATAAATCTATATTGTAAGCAGAGCTTCTTAAAGCAGAAAATACAAATAGAAGAACTTCAGTGTGTTGACCTGATTAATTTAGGAAACACTTGCAAACTAAGTGCTAAGTATATTTCCCATGACTAACTGATCCTTATTTGAAATTTTATAGCATTTACTGTTCTTCAGTCTTTATTCTCATTTTCCATTTGCTGCATTATTCAATATTTTTGTCATGTAGCCTAGCACATTTGAAATGTAGTGTAGGCTTCTCTCTGTAGATACTCTGGAAACATTTGACTGCTGAATATTGCTGTGTTTATATCCATTTTCTTTAATGCAATGCATATGCCCCATGATTATTTTGTAGAAGAATTTCTTTTAAAATTGTCTTTCTTTAGTATTACTTGTGTTTACAAGCAAGAACCATTTATATGTATGTTTAATAAGATTTCCTAAACTGCTAAAGATAGGTTAAATAAAGCTTTGAGCTCAATCAGTATTTACCAGTTTAGAAATATATCAGCTCAAGAGTTAATTTTTGAAATTATTTTAATCTCCATTTTATAATTTGCTACTCTGCATGGAATTAATTCAGTGCATATATTTCTGTGTGTTCAGTCTTGTTAGAGATTTCACCATAATACTACTTTCCAAAGACGTCTCAGAATTATCCCATTCTGGACTGATTCGCATTAGACTTCTCTGCAGTGAAGAGATACAGCTTGGGTTGGTTTTGGTTTTTTTACACTGTTGTTCAGTTTTCCAGGCTGCAGTTCCTTCCAGGCTCTGCTTACAGAAAGTCCTGAGGGAAGGCCAAGTTCATAATAAGTGTTTCCTTGCTCAAAGAAATGCAAAAAGTGTCTTGATCCATCAAGGCTGGCTGCCTCCTGAGAAACACCAACTGCTTGTTCTCAGCTAATTACTTTTTGTATTGGTTCACCACAAAATTAGGCCCAAAGAAAACAAGAATTTTAAAAACTTCACACTGATCTTACAAGGAAGCTCCGTTCTGAAAAAAATCCTATTGAGCTCAAAGTACAAAGTCTGTAAGTGATCTGCTAACTGTAATGGAGAATTCCTTCCTTTCTGACTTGCCACTGTTTATCATAACTCCTGTTATTACGTAGTTGGCAAATGCACTTATTTATGAAACAATACACATGTCCAAAGTAACTTGCTAGGGTGAGGACTCCTCCTTGTGATAATGAAGCTTTCACAGAAATGGTGCCATGGGGATATGCAAATCCAAAGAAGGCCTTACAAATTATGCCCAGTTGTTTGTGTCCTCTGTACTATTTATAGTCTGTATCAAACAGAGGATAATCTGATTTAAACAGGACAGTGTCCCCAGCCTTTTCTAATTGTCTGGTTGCTTCCGTTGCCTTGTATCATAGGAGTTGTGCAGTAGCTTCATTTATTCAAGGCTCTTAACTGCTAATTCAGAGCTGGCTGAAAAAAAAAGGGGTTGAAAATGTTCTGTTTCTAGTTTAAGGAGCAAAACCCCAGGTCCATACCAGTTCTGTTAAACTCGTTACCAGCTTATTTGATCACATTGGGTATGAACTATGGATTCAGGCAAGTAACTGTAGGTGTCTTCATGTGTTATTAGTGTCTAAGCTTCCTTTAATCAATGGGAATCTGGCCAGTACACTCAGTGGAGTACAGAGGACTATTCAGGTCACTGTAACATAAGCACATTGAGCTTGATTCATTTACCCAAACCAAAGATACCTAAAAGATTTATGCAGGTCTCCCAAATGTGGTGCAGCACCACATTTTTTTCATTTCAAGTGTATTTTAGAGTTAATTCTCCATCAGAGCTGACTGAGAGATTTGTGTTTTAGAGATTTAATTAATGTGAAGAGATCACTTTAGGAATAGGTGAAGTGTGTCCTTCCCAAATTTGAGCTGTTCCCATCATCAGAGCTGTGCACCAAAACTACAGACAGACCATCATCATGTTTACACTGATTCTTTTGGATTTAAGCTAAGGTGCAGCATTCTCTGGGCAAGAACTGTACTACACTGAGGCCATTTAGTCTCCTCTGGGGAAGAGTCTATCAGGACAGTAGAGCAACCAACCCCAAAACAGAATACTGCTGTACTGACTGGCATGGACAGTGCCATGCTACCTTGCATTGATTTTCTTGACTCCTTCTCTAAGCCACTAGCAACAGGAGTTTGGTAGAGTTTGATAGAACTTAAAGCTGCTCTCTGATTTCTGCACAGAATATACATAGCAGAAAAGTGTCCTCTGGTAAACTGTGGAATAAAGAAATTTTTACCTTGCTCAGAAAATCATGTTAGCTGCCGGTGTCAATCTAGTCTAGAATGCTTTGATTTTGATTTGTTTCTTATACAATAAATACAAAAAAAAGGTTTAATTTGGTAGTTCAGCTAAGACTCTTCAAACTTACCTGATGGGCTTTGTTTCCAGTGCTGCATCCAATACTTTGAAAAAATCTATATTTTTTTATCTGGTTTTATTGAGAGATGTCAGATTATGCCTATAACCACTGCAGTATCTTTAGATATCAGACAGTGTAGCTCTAAAGCCAGTTACCATCTCCAGAAAGATTTGTTTATTATTTGAGGTATTTCTCTGAGGATGAGTATTACCAAAGTCACCCACACTCATTGCCTTTGAAAATAGGAGTATTAGTAATAGTTTCAGCATTACACAGAGGGATTTAGTCAAGTGATAAACACTAACAGGGGTTTACCTAAACCTCAACTCCCACAGGAGGTATAAATTCTGGTAGAGGTGCACATGAACAACAGATTTTTAAACAACTGTTTCATCTAATACCTTTCACCTTGAGAAATATGTACAAAACATACAATCTTTGTTGCTTGGTATGTAATACCTGATCATGACCTGCTACTTCTGGTGTATACATGGCCCAAAGGTGTGAGGCAGCTTTCTTCAAAGAAAATTACTAGAGTAGCTTTGCTTTTCCGTTGTAAAAAGGCTTGTATTGCTCTTGGGTGTGAAGCTGTTCCAGTTAAATGTGTTACATCAAAAAGGGAGTTCAGGTGTTCTGTAGAAGAGTAGAACACCTCCTGTCCTTCACCCTGCCTCCCCAGCATGTTTCACTGTGACTTGTACTCTCTATCACATATGATAATTGTAGTTCACGAAATTACTAGTTAGGCACTTTTTCATCATACTTAGGCACGTAGCTTACTGCCACTGTACTGGCTTTGCAGACATTAAACATCCACAATAGTTCATGACTTACCGATGTTGAGGTGAAAAAAAAAATCCAATAAAAGCAGAAATGCGTAAGAATAAAGTTCATGCCATAAAGCTCTTGGCATGTGGTAGCTGTAGTAACAAGAATAGCCCTAATTTATGATGTCTGAATTAATACTGAAGATAAGAGTATAATGTCCCTTTGCAAGCAGTGTCTAGCTAATCTGTATAGGTTGGTAGCCTGTGTAACTGGCGTTCTTTGGAGAAGTCTATGGCTAATGTATAACTGATTTGTACCATGAAATATGCCCTGTCCAGGGCAAGTGATGGAGAGGAGTTTGTATGCAGACTATGCAGGGAATTGTCTGTCTCGGTATATGACTATAGAATCATTAAGAGTGGAAAAGACTTCTAAGATCATTGAGTCTAACTATTAACCTAACACTGCCAGGTCCACCACTAAACTGTGTCCCTAAGCACCACATCTACATGTATTTTGAACACTTACAGGGACAGTGATACCATCACTTCCCTGGGCAGCCTCTTGCAATGTTTGTTCACCCTTTCAGTGAAGAAATTTTTCCTAATGCCCAGTCTAAACGTACTCTGGCACAACTTGAGGGTGTTTCCTCTTATTCTGTTGTTCTTTACGTGGGAGAAAAGATGACACACACGCCCCCCTCTCACTCCATCTTTTTGCAAGTTGCCACAGTTAAGCATTTCAATAGCTGCAGACATGCAGATGGTAGGTCATGTGGAGACACTGACCATCGTTGTATGTATCAGGAGCTATATGTAATGCAAATCAGTCCCCTTGATTTGCATTTAGGATAAGAACTGATGGAAAATCAGTATCTGGCAAAATCTTGCTTTGCATATCTGATCCTTTAGTCAGTACCACGTGCAATTAACCCTCCCTTTGATTAATCGCGTTTTTGCACTCCCATCATTCTTGTACTGAGCTCAGCATGCAGACAGGAATGTATGTGCTTGGCTTCCACCCAAGTCAGGAGAGTTACGTGGGTCTGATCTCACCCATGCCAGTCTGCACATGCCCTCATTTAGTGAGTGAGTTTTGCATGGGTAATATGTGGATTTAAAATTCTAAGATAAATACTGAAAGATAACCCCACTAAATCAGGTTTTTAATCTAAGTAATTACTAATTAAGTTAAACAGGTTGATGCTAAAAAAATATTGTTCAGCAATGAAAAAATGGACTTCTCAAGGAAACTCTTCAGCCCAAGCCCGAAGATTTTCTATGGCATATTTGTTAAGAAACTAAATAAGATTTTCATAAAAATACAGAATATCTAATGTTTCCTTTCTAGGTAGCTATGATGGGACCATGGTATGAGGGGTAAAAAGCATGGTACAAATTATCAGAAAGACCAGTATAGGCCTTACAGCTTTTTCTTTAGATCCTACTTTTGTTCCCATTTATCTAAAATCAGTTGTGAATTTGCTTCTCAGATTTTGTGTTCTTGATGCACTGATTCTTTAATGGTCTTTGAGATGCACCCTACTGTCTTCACCTTGGGGACCTACAGTGTCTGCAAGACAAAATGGTTAACTAGCTTCTCTCAGAAATACAGCATCATTTCCCTAAGGCTTGGGAATGCACCCATGTTCCCTTTCCCAAGCCCACTCTAGAGCAGCTGCTTCAGCGTTTACTTTTCCATCCAAATATTAAAACATAATTTGAAAATTCCACACTTGGTAGTAATCTCAGAAAGAAATGTGATATGTGGTCCTTTTAACATTTGTTTTAGAATAGAACCCTAATTGTGCTATTGGGTATTTGTAAAGTAACAAATTTTGTATATATTGTACTGTAACTGTGAAAGTGTTCTAATGTGTGAGGTTCTTTGCTCATCTGACTGTTTGTTTTTACTGTAGCATTAAATAAGCATTTTAATTCCTATTTTTGTAATGTTTGGGAGGTTTGCTGGGTCAGTTATGTAACAAAGTACTTTGATCTAATCTCTAGAATAGAGATTAGTCCTTTGTGCCAAGTCGGATTTTCATTGTATAATGCCCGTTGCAGCCAATGGATGGTGTTCAGCTAGACTTGCAGTACATGGCAGAGCAGACATGTTTGCTTGTATTTGGTTATTAGTCTCTTCTGACAGTTGTTTTACAGATAAATGTTCTGTTAATTATGGCAAGGTAGTACATCGTTAAAGAAGATAATCGCAAAGAATTGGTTTGACTTTCTTTTACTTGTGTATGGAAAAGTCGCTGGCAAAGATGATCATGAAAAATAAAGATGAGAATAAATATCAGTTGGTTTGGCTTTTTCTTCCAGGTTATGCATTCCTCCTGTTCCAAGAAGAGAGTTCTGTTCAGGCCCTGATTGATGCCTGCATTGAAGAAGATGGAAAGCTCTATCTGTGTGTTTCCAGCCCTACTATCAAGGACAAGCCAGTAAGTACATAGCCCATGGCCTGCAGGCTATAGCTGCCATCTGTCTAAGGCTGCATTGGAAGTTCTGATGATGAAAATTATCAAAACCAACCTACCATTGGCAGAGCTCAACATCTGGAACACTCAGACTATTTTAAAACTGTAGGGTTTTGAATAGGATTAAAACAGAGCACCTAGACGTGCTAAGCTAATGAGGTTATGACTGTTTGACAGTTTATATATGTATGTCCACACTGTAGTGAAACTTAGAGCAGCATCCTACTTTTTTTCCCAATTCAATAGGTACAGATACGTCCCTGGAATCTAAGTGATAGTGACTTTGTGATGGATGGTTCGCAGCCACTTGATCCTCGAAAAACAATTTTTGTTGGAGGAGTCCCTAGACCATTAAGAGCTGGTGAGTATAATCTGTGCCAATTTTTAAAAGAAGGAAATTACTGGAAGTGATTCAAACCAGTGAACTTTTATATAGTTGCATATGGATAGATATAAATATAGGTAAAAGACTGTCATGATAGTTATAACCATAGTACAGTGTTCATATATTCTCCTGTTTCTCTACTAACTTTTCATCTGGCCTTGGCCATAAATCACAGTTCATCCTTGAGATTTGCTGGAAACTGTTACCTGTCTAAAGCTGTAGAAAAGATTTTGATTATAGTAACAAAACTGTGGTATAAACTGTGTCACAAAAGACATATAACAACGAGTTTGTTTCTAAAATATGGCTACGAACGCTGCTCCCTGACTGTGTGGAGCTGTATTTGTACCTGCTTGTCATTGTGCATTAGCTAGTCTTCTGCTGCTGTCAGGTTGCAGTTACTCTTGGTACACACAGAAATACAGGTGATGGAGTACTTGAAGGAGCAGGAATAGAGGGAAAAAGGAAGAAATTCAGAGCTAGCACAATGTGTATGGCACAACAGTACATGAGATTGCAGGGCTCTATCTAGGCTCTTGTCAGAGTGCATGAAGGGAAAAATGAATGTTTCTGTAGGGGTGGACTGGTTGATGTGCAACCTGGACAATCTGCATTTTGAGACTGGTTGCAGTAGCCTTTTACAGTGTTTTAGGTGGCTTTCTAGTAAGTAGGTTGCATTGAATGTTAGAAGTCGAAGCATAACACAGAGTGGTTCAAATCCCATTTTTGTTAGAATGACTTCTGGGCTTTGTTGGTCTTCCATCGTTTGTAATTAATTTTATTCTTAGAGAAGATGAGCTTTCAGATAGACTATGTAGGAAAACGAAGAAGTAATAGTGTACATTTGGGGTGTAAAGGGTCTTAAATTTTTGTGTCTTGGACCTGCAATGCTCAAGCTTTTCTATTATTTTACTTCCAAGACTCTACTTTTGACTGTAGTACAAGCTCTGCAAATGAGCATAAACACAGTATGTTCCAACTGCAGATGAATTTTTCTTTAAATTCAGTCCAGTACACCAGATTACTCTGCTGAATGTCTGTGATAAATTTAATGGATGCATTCTTATGCCTAGCTTTCAAGTGCCCTGTATATGTGAAAATGAAACTTTTATGACATTGTGAAATAAGAATAATGACTCCACAAAAGCAGTAAAACTTCAGGAGACTCTTCAAACAGCTATTGAACATCAATGACTGCTGGCACCTTTATAACTTAATACAAAGGATGCTAATTCTGAAAAAAACCTGTAGTTTCCACCTGAATGAATTGCAAAACTGAGTTCAGTATAATCTGGCAATCAGACAATTGCCAAAGTACTTTCATCTGTAAAATCTGAAGGTTTTGTTTCTCTGAACTTCAGTGTCTATGGTAAGTGTAGCACTGTGGAGATAATCAAGCTCCATGTAGCTGATGAAAGGATGCTAACTACTTCTTTAAATTGGAGTAGGACATAGAGCGTTAGGACAGCCAGAGAACATGTACCACGGAATTTGTGGCATGTGGATCTATTTTATACAGCTTACATTCCATGCCTGCCCAAAAAGTCTTTTGCTGTAATCCCCTGAAGAAAACTGCCCTGGAATTCTAGTTCCAGGTTATCAAGGACTTAGAGCTCCATCGTTCCTTGAATGTATGTACCCGCGGTGTGATAGATCTGTCTGCTGAGTATTTGATAGCTTATTTAATGGTTTTTTATCCTGTTACTATTACGTAGGCTGTTGCAGAATTAATGATTAAAATTCACTTTCTGAGTACTTTTAACTAAAAAAGCACATAAAGTTTGTACTGTAAGAACACTTTAAATGAACACTGTTTTGTTTCTCAATAGTGGAATTGGCTATGATCATGGACCGTCTCTATGGAGGAGTTTGTTATGCAGGAATTGATACTGACCCTGAGCTGAAATACCCAAAAGGTGCTGGACGTGTTGCTTTTTCCAATCAGCAAAGCTACATTGCTGCCATCAGTGCTCGGTTTGTTCAACTTCAGCATGGCGACATTGATAAACGAGTAAGTTACACAGAAATCTTAAGAGTTATGACCTATAAAGAAACTTCTCAGAGTGTGGTAGCATTGCATTTGGTTGGCTTTCATGTCAGCTTCTACATTTCTTTTAGTATTCATGTAGCTCCTCTACTCTGAAGAGTATGTATGCCGTGAGTGCCCCCAAACAAACAACATGCGTTCCACAGAGCAGCAGTTTGTTCCTTCGACATATGTTGGACCATATGTTCTTCCCATTCTGGACTTCCTGGGTTTGTTGTGTATGGGCAAAGGGCTTGAAAATCTTTTTCTCTCCCTGGTTCTAATGAAACCAAATACTGTGATAATTCCTTTGTCATTCGCAGGAAACTCTAGTGTTCATTGTGGTTAGATTAGCTTTATATTTGCAGCTGCCCTTAATTTCAGCTGTAATTGTCAGTGCTCAGCACCTAAAATGCAAAATGTCTTATCCTTTCTGTTTGAGAGTCTTCTTACTATTTACCAGTGCACATTTCTGTTTGCTACAGATGCTTATTGCTAGCTAAAGCAAAACTAACTTCTTTTAGGAACTTATCAACTTCATTAGTCCTAACTGACGTGTAAGAGTAGCAAAGAAAACTGGCATCTAAATTACGTCAGTTTTAAGGGTCACTAGTTTTGATGTCAAGAGCTGCAGTGGTAGTCTGGCATTAATAGGTGCTCTTTAGGGGGGAAAAAAAAGGTTGTAGAGGAAGAAGGGTTAAGGAAGTAAAGTAGTTCAAGGTCCAGTCTCCTCTACTGATCAAAGACCTGGGAAAAAGAAAGTAGTACAGTTAACAGAAGTCTGCTCTAGGGAAGTAACATGTTCTTCTCTCCTTTCAAATAGGCAGAGTAACACAGCTTTACATCTTGTCTCAGACAGCACTTGCCTGGTGAGCTGAAATCCCCAAGCACTGCCCTTCCCAGAGGATGAGTGGGTCTAGTGAACTAGGCTTCACATTAAGATGCGATGGGTACATTTTGGTCTTGGGATTGCTGTCCTTGTGACTTGCAGCTGACGTTGACTAATAGCTCTAGCTTTTGGATAGTTATGTAACAGAAAAAAATGGCCTTGACACCGTGACTGTGTGAGGGGAAATAAAGCTGTTAATCATCTTGCATTTGAGTATTTGGACAAAATGGGAGTAAGGACCAGAATTCCTTCTAAAGAAATGCTAAATGGGTCATTTAGCTTCAGAATTGGGTATTGTTTAGTGTCTTTCAGGAACTAGCTAGAGGGCATTTGGCTGTGAAGTCACCTCAATTTAAAATTAAGATGTGGACAGTTGGGTCCCATCCAAACTAATTCTCCTACAAAAGTAGGAAATGTGTATTTGAACCTTGTAAACTAGGGGACAGTCTATCTTGGTCTTCCTCTTCCCATGGGAGTGTCCTTTGCAGCAGAGGACCACCCGGTTATTGGTGTTACTGAGGAGTAATAGAGAACAGCCTCTTTTTAGGGAACACCTTGCATCTTAGCTGTTTCTGAAAGTGTGAAAGAAGCTATTTTCAGAAATAGTTTTTTTCCTCTGTGGAGTTTTTGCACTAATTCTGTTTCAGGTTCTGAAAATACTCTGAAATCAGTATTACTGTTGATTTATAGACAAGCAATCAGTTAGTGTAAATCTGTAAACCACTGGTTTTGTAAATGACAAAGACAGTTCTACTTTGGGTACTGCCTTCACCTGAGATATTTCTGTGTGCTGGCCAGGAAGGTAATACAGTACATATTTCTGTGCAGAACTGCAAGCAGTTCTACCCTTTGCCTCAGCATAGCCTTTCCATACCAGTTGCATCCAGTTTCTGTGAGTATGCTGTCCTTTCACATTCTTTTCATAACCAGTTATGTCTGTGTAAAAGCCTTTTTTCATTGCTAAATTTTGCAGTTCACCTGTTTATCCATCTGAACTTCAGTGCAAAGTATTTACAGCATTTTCTTTTTGCAACATACCTTTTCTTGACTTAACTGGAAGTCTTAATGTCACAGTCGCTTGGCAAACATTGTCTGTGATCTTAACTTCTTCCTCACCTAAGCACTCTGTAGCTTCTCCCCACTTCTTTTGATGTGTAGATATATTTAGTTTCTCGAACAGATGTTTTTCTTCAGTAAACTGCTCCTCATCCTGTTTTATCATATATGAAAGCTCAACTCCAAACATTTCTTTGAAACTCGTTTGGAGTTTCAACTCCAAACAATTCCTTAAAATATTGTTAACTTTCATATGCCAGCAGCCTGTATCATCCACTTCATGTAATACTTCCATCCCCAAAGTGTTTCTCTAATATATTTGAAATCATCTTCATACCCATCTCGGTGCATTAGTGCACTGAAGCTTGAAATATATGCTGTTCCATGCTTTCAGTGATTCTGAGCCACGAACACAGTTACTGTATAAGGTACCTGTTCATTGGAAAGTTTGAGTGTAATTTGTGATAAGGCAGGTCATTGTAGTGAAATAAGAAGTAGAGCTTGTAGTGAATATAGATGACTGGAAGAAGCATACTCTGACATGTCTAGTATGGCCTCTGCTTCTGAAGCTTACAACTCTGCCTTGGTTTAACCCCAGGCAGCCACCAAACACCGCACAGCCCCTCACTCACTCCCCCACCAATGGGATGGGGGAGAGAATGGGAAGGGTAAAAGCTACAAAAACTCATGAGTTCAAGACAGTTTAACAGGGGAAGCAAAAGCCACACACACAGGAGCAAAGCAAACCAAGATATTAATTCACTGCTTCCCATGGGTAGGGGGTGTTCAGCCAAGCCCAGGAGAGCAGGGACCATCACACCTAACAGTTCTTTGGGAAGACAAATGCCATCACTTCAAACGTCCTCCCCTCCCACCTTATATACTAAGCATGATGTCATATGGTATGGAATATCCCTTTGGTCAGTTTGGGTCACCTGTCCCAGCTGTGTCTCCTCCCAATCTCCCGTGCACCCCCAACTTCATTGCCAGTGCGGCAGTATGGGAAGCAGCAAAGGCCTGGCTCTGTGTAAACTCTGCTCAGCAGTAACAAAAACTTCTCTGTATTATCAACCCTGTGTTCTGCACAAATCAGAACATAGCCCCAGACTAGCCACTGTGAAGAAAGTTAACTCTACTTAGCCCAAACCAGCACAAAGACAATTTGGCTGTAAAACTTTAGGATAGGTAGCTGTATGTGTGAATTCTTTCCTCTGAAGATATAATGAAAAGCATTGTATTCCACTTTTTAAAGCTCTTAATATTTCAAACATTCTGAGTATCGAACATACAGTCGATGTCTATATGTAGTGTATTGGGTAGTAGTATCTCAGGAAAAAATCTCTTGGGGCAGTGATGAAAATATGGAAGACAACAATGCATTCTTTAATGATTGAGTCAACTCACTTTGTGTTTTATTATTAAGTTCTTCCTGTCTGATCTCAGTCTGTAACAGTTCAGTTACGTGAAGACATAATGCAAATCTGCCACTGGACTCCTGCCATTTTTCCACTCTGGCAGTCAGATTAGTTTGGAAGAGAAAAGCTGTGTAAGACAGGTGTTTGTAGCAGTCTGTAGAATTGCAAAATGGTCTTTTAAAAATATTTTCAGAAATACATGGAAGACAAATTTCTGTACCGCTCAAAGCCACAAAAAGAGAAAGTAATAGACGACCAAAATCAGCAGCTCCAAATTTGACTGTGTTTTAAAGATAGGGAGTGGATTTAGAGCAAACAGCACTGCTAAAAGAGCTGTATGATAACTTGCAGAAAGCACTTTCACTTTGCACACAGAAGTAGTACATGCAGAGACCTACCCTTGTTTTGAAGAGAAAGAGTTTCCATTAAAGGGTTACGGTCTCATATGTTCAGTTATTTTTTGCTAAACTACAGAACTGGATGTCATGTGGAGGTACATTTGGGAGCTGGTGAGAGTAGTGGGGAGACCTTTGGGCTATTTTGGGTTTTTCCCACACATAGTCCATATTATCATTCGCATAGAACACTCTTCCAGAGTAAATTAATGGAAGGTTCTAGTATAGCTATTTGTGACATATACAGTATACTTCTAAAGATGTGCCTTGAAGTGTTCTGCAGTGTCATAGACTCATAAAATTTTAGGTGTTGGAATGGACCTTGGAGATCATCTAGTCCCAGCCCCCCCTGCCCTGGGCAGGGACACCTCCCCACTAGATCAGGTTGCTCAAGGCTTTATCCAACCTGTCTTTGAACACTGCCAGGGTTGGGGCAGCCACTACCTCCCTGGGCAACCTGGGTGAGACCTGTGCCAGTGTCTCACCACCCTCACAATAAAAAACTTTTTCCTAATAGGTAACCTAAATTTCTCCTCTTTCAATCTGTGCCCAAGTGAATGGATGAATGATAACGAGGACTAACTGATGAGTTAGATAAAGGTGTTAATACGGCTGATTTCAGACTGCTGGTTTGGGTTTTGTTGTGAGGGTTTTTTTTAATGAGGAAAACATCAAGTAGGACCAGGTATTAACTGGACTTGTTCCTGTTTCACTCCAACAGGTGGAGGTAAAGCCATACGTGTTGGATGACCAGATGTGTGACGAGTGCCAGGGTGCGCGGTGCGGTGGGAAGTTTGCTCCTTTCTTTTGTGCCAATGTCACTTGCCTGCAGTATTACTGTGAGTTTTGTTGGGCAAACATCCACTCTCGTGCAGGACGTGAATTCCATAAGCCATTGGTAAAGGAGGGGGCTGACCGCCCACGTCAGATCCACTTCCGCTGGAATTAAACATGGTG